TTTTAGTAGAGACAGGGTTTCTCCATGTTGGTCAGGCTGGTCTCGAACTCCCGAACTCAGGTGATCCGCCCGCCTCAGCCTCCCAAAGTGCTGGGATTACAGGCATCAGCCACTGTGCCCAGCCTCTACATATTATTTTCTAATGCTACAGATTCTTGGTTCCTTTCTCCATTTCAAGAATAATGTAGTTCATAGTCATTTGATTATATGAAGTAGCCTAAAAAGTAAGTGGACCTAGGGAAGATCTATTACAGAAGAAGCACATCTCACAACAAATGAACTACTGTGCACCCCTAATGTCTTACTGCAATTCAAACAAATAGAGGAAATGTGTCCTTGTTAAGCAGCATGGACGATGCCCAAGCTAGACCTGCAATGGCATAAGCAAGGTCTTGGAAAGAAGGAAACCAGTGTTTTGGCCACTTAGTGAAAGACTTCTTTCATTTTTACTAAATCAGGTCCCCAGTTCACAGGGATGGCAGAGAGGGACGGGCTACGTCAGTGTGTAGTGCCCGTCCTGCCTCCTTCTCACAGCCGTGCAAGGATCTTTCCACAAAGCAGGGCCCAAGAACAAGCAGTTACATCCACCTGCTACCATGCAGCACTCTTCAGCAACAGGGCAACCTACCTTCTCCAAAACAAAGAGAGACAGAGTAGGATCAAGGAAGCCAAAACACGAACTGAGTGAGTTGATGACGAAGGCTATAAGGCCAATTTTGGGTAAGGCAATCAGTTTCCAGAATGAGTGTTCACCTGGATCAGACTCTTTGGGGAAAAAGAAAAAAAGAAAAAAAAAAAATCAAAGGAATTAAAATCTCTTAATTTTAACTTATTTTGAAAACGGGTAAGGCCATCTTTATCTGGTAATCAAAATAACTCAACTTCTGTGTTTGCCTAAAATTGTATGTCATCTACACTTGAACCTAAATTATTCAAATCTAGAGGCCACATTCAATTTATCAGAAATAATTTCCCACATTTAAAAAGAATCAGAGTGTCAGGGGAAGAAGGGTCTTAGGTTACAGGTTGTAACTATTATACTTATCCTAGCCAGAGATAATATCAGGTTTGGACCTTGTATTAATCTGTTCTTACACAGCTAATAAAGACATACCTAAGACTGGGTAATTTATAAAGGAAAGAAGTTTAATAAACTCAAATTTCTACCTGGCTGGGGAAGCCTCACAATCATGGTGGAAGATGAAAGAAGAGTAAAGGGACATCTTACATGGGAGCAGGCAAGAGAGCTTGTGCAGGGAGGGCTCCCATTTATGAAAAACATCAGGTCTTGTGGGATTTAATACCATGAAAACAGTATGGTGGAACCACCCCCATGATTCAATTACCTCCACCTGGCCCCACCCTTGAAATGTGGGGATTATTATAATTCAAGGTGAGATTTGGGTGGGGATATAGACAAATCATATCAGACATGAAGCTTTTTTTTTTTTTTTTTTAAGAGATGAAGTATCTTGCTCTGTTACCCAGGCTGGAGTGCAGTGGTGTTATTATAGTTCACCGCAGCCTCCAAATCCTGGGCTCAAGTGATCCTGCCTCAGCTTCCCAAGTAGCTGGGTGTACAGGTGTGCACCACCTCACCCAGCTCATTAAAAACATTTTTAGAGATGGTGTCTCCCTTTGTTGCCCAGGCTAGTCTCAAATGTTTGACTTCAAGTGATCCTCCCATCTCAGCCTCCCAATTATGGATGTGGAAGCTCTTTGATGGCTATGAGAAGCCCTCATTTATCCCCATTTCTCCCACAACATCCTGCACAGTTCAATATTCTATAAATACTTGTTGAATCATGATCAAATATGGGGCCAAGCGGAAAAACATCATGAAGTGTGGTTCAACTATTTTAAGTGTTATACTTAGATTTTTTCAGGATGTAAGAGATAAAGTTAAACCTAGGTGTTAGGGTGTTTCTTTCTTTCTTCCTTTTTTT